GGCATTTTTCTAAATTAATCGTCAATAAACAATAATTACCAACATAGTCATTTGTAATTGAGAAATATTTTCTAAATAGTCCTTTGTAAAAAATGCATATTAAATAACAATTAAATAAAGAGTATTTCTATATTTTTCATCATTTAAATTATGAATAAGTCCTCAAATTAGTTTTTTCAAATTAACTAGATGGCCGCTAGAGGAAAGAAGCAACCCTAAATAGGCTCATTACATTAACTTACAAATTATCAATTTAAAAAAATATTTAATTGTAAAAGAGTATTTTGAAAATATACTTTAAATCTAGCTAGCTGATAGATAATGCCAAAATTCTTTGTATTTGACTATCATTAAAGAGACATTTTTTGGTAGAAGATTATTTAGTGAATGTATCACAATTATAAAGGACTACACTAGTAATTAGAATTAATTTAAGAAAATACAATACCTTATTAAAAAACAGATTTATTCTTTTATTTAATGGAAGGTCAAACTAAATTGGATTGGAGTATTTCGAGTAAAAACACGAGTCGGAAAAAAGGAAAATGAAGAGAGAAAAAAGAGAAAAGCAACCAAGAGAGACGCCGATTAAACTGCCGCCAATCCGCCATGGATAGAAACTTGGAGGTTGCTTCAATGAAGAAGAAAAACGCAAGGAGTTCCACTAGAGAGACAAAAAGGGGGGAAAACAGGGGATTAGGGTTAGAGAGAGATAGAAGCCGAAAGACGAGGCCCGTGGATAAAAACTCCATTACAGTGAGTTTCCCTTTGTTTCCTTCTCTTCTCTTCTCTTATTGACTCCCTTGATTGTATTGATTTGCTTGTGATATTTTTTTTGAAGCAAGATTAGTTGGTGATATTTCCGTATTATCTTCTTAAAGCCAGTTTAGTTATATATAATGCTGGTATTGCTTTTGTTTTATACTTGGGTTTATGAAATGATGGATTGACAATGGACAGGAATCAAACATTCTGGATAGTCCAATAGTAATTCAGATTTTTAAAGTATGGACACATTCAGTATATGGTAGGCAGCATAGCCGTTTTAATCCATGGATGTATAAAGACTGCTCCAAGTCCTTTAGGCTCCGTTTGCTTGGTACACGGATTTCAAACTATGGAATTGGAATTTGGGACAACAATTCCAGTTCTGCTGTTCGGTAGCACAGAAATATGTGGATTAGGAATTGGTAGTGCCAAAAATTAATTGGATTTGAAGAATTCAATTCCATCCAAATGAATTCCATAGAATTTCAACTCTCAATTCAATTCCAATTCCGTGTACCAAATGGACCCTTAGTGGATTTCAAGTTCATGACGTAATCATCTTCATCTTTTTTTATATGACTGTGTTTTTGGTTGATACCATCATGGTTTCATATGTAGACATAATCTGGCCTCAGCCCAGGACAATCTTTCAGCCACACCTTGACCCTATGAAAAAAAAACATATAGTCCTCAAGTTGCCTAGGACCTTCCTTCATTCCTTGTCATACACTACTCAGTGCATGTCATCACTGCATTATCATCACTGCTGTTGGGAATGATTAAAATAATCAAAGGGAAATAAGAAAAGAAAGAAAATAAATAAAAAGGACACATCCAGTGGAGCGTGGGTGGGAGTATGCATGTGATGTTTGCAAATTGTTATCTTAACTCTTTCCATAGGTGATAGGAGTATACGACTTGACTGCTTGTGGGCGGTTCTTTTTAGTTTTTTTTTCCTTTGTTATTTTATTTGCTTCATATATAAGATTATAGAATGTGTGAAGTGTGCATTGAGAGTGATACACACTACAAAAGAGAGGAGGGGAGGGTTTCTACACAAGATATCACTGGGTTGTGTGAGTGAGTGTAGGGAGTACCTGGTACATTTAGATTTGGGGGTGTGGATAGGATTGTTTTTGAGTGTCTGATATTTATCTCTTATAAATTGGAGAGAGCAGCAGCCACGGCGGAGCAATTTTTAATGATATAAACCTGATTGAGATAATTCTTGGTGATCCCCAGAGATTGTTCTAGTATGGGATTTCATAAACTGCCCAGTACGTGACTAGGTATTGATCCTGTTTTGCTCTTTCCTTGATGTATCGTTTGATTGGCTTTGCAGGTCAGTGTGGAAATAGGTTCCCGAACGCCAGAAGGTGTGCTTCGTCTGGATGGGTTCAAATCTTCCGATACCATTAGCGACGTCAAGGTGCGGGCCTGCCAGACAGCAAAGGACCTTGGCTTGGGTCCACTTAAGTGTTGCATTAGATCAATGATGTCTCTAGAAGGACGGCATTTGGAGGACAACCAGACTCTAGCATCTTTATACCGCCGTGGCTGCTCAGACTCGTCTCTCTTCTTGTTTTACTTCCCAGGCGTGGCTAAAGATATCATAGAAGAGCCCATGGAGGAGATGCGCTGGTTGCGGATCTGTAAGCTTGTGCGGTTTACTGAGGAGGCACACGAGAACAACTGGGTTGATGAAGAGGAGTACTACAAGGGCAGCTACGACGAGGACGATCCAGTCTCGATTGAAAAGAGGCCAAAATTCATTCATGCGCCGCTCCCATTTGCTCAGGTTCCAAACCTATGCATTCATGGAAGATATGAGTTGCTGGACATCTTGCGGAGACCCATTTCATTTTCTAAGATCAGGCACACCCACTGTGTAGCTACCACTGCATCTGTTGTCTTTTTGGCGCTGAATGATCGGATTCTGAAGGACCTGGTGTCCTTAAATACGTAGTCTGAATACCTTGTGATTCGTGTGAGTTGGGACAAATTGTCTTACGTATTTGTCAGGGTATTGAGGAAATCAAACCCTGACATTCCCATTGTTGCTGTCACTGACCTTGACCCCCACCACCTGGACCTCCTGACCTTCCTTGACACACCTCCCGACTTCTTGCCTAGCTGCTATGGGTGGGATCTCACCAGAGACTTTGGACAAGACGTGTGTGCTAGTAGCATTGATTTTGTGGACATCAAGTGGCTTGGGCTGAGGCCTTTTGACTATTGGCCACGCCACACTTCTTCTGATGGCGCTTCCCGTTGTCCTGGCTTTGACAAGGTCATTGGCATGCTCAGGGCCAATCCTTTTCTCCGTAGGAAGAAAGAGTGGTTAGAAGCATTGGATTGGCTTGACTTGTTAGGTGAGTGCGTGTCATTACATCTTCTGGCTCCTCCGCTAGATTCTGGTGCCATTTATTTGGGTGATGATTATATTCCTAAGAAAGTATGCGAAAAAGACTGGGTTTAAGTATAAACTGCCGTGGCACTAAATGCTTCTGTGTATCAGACTCCTGGTACTATTTATCTTAGTATTATTGATTGCTTTAGTATTCAAGATTGATTACAAACACTCTTCTCTGTTACGGTTCCAAATAGTTCAACCTTCTTTGGGCTCCATGAGATGAGGGCTTCAAAGTCGAAATCGAAGTGTATTAGTGTGTAAAGGGGTTGGTGCCCATGGAGGTGGCTTTGGAATCCTGTTTTGGAAAGGCTATGGCGGGTTCTACCACTCCCTCTTGGGGTTGCTTGTGGTGGGGAGCGATTAAAGCTTGGATTTGGTTTTGCATACGGGCGATTTCATCTTCTTGCTCTTTCGTCACTAGAGCACCCAAATAGTGGGAGATTACAAAATGACTTTGGGGCAGATTGGGCATTGAGGTGGATAACCATTCAGTGCTCGGTCCAGCTACGAGCAAGTACTATTATTTCGAACTTCACATCCAACATGGTGAAAGACAAGATTTGGACAATGAATATTGATAAATACTAAAGGAGAGAATGATGAATAGTTTATAAGTCCATAATTTTTTTGAATTATCAATAAATTTTTTTGCATTATCATCACTGCGCCAGTCTAGGACCTAGGACCTTCCTTGTCAAAATATATTAAAATGCTCAAATGCATTTGGGTATAATACTTGAGAAATAAATTTCTTTTACAAAATTAGTACTAATTGAATAAAACAATTATAATTAAAGTTGTTTTAATTAATCAAAAATAAAAATAATAGTTTTAAAATGAAAAATTTAAAATAGAGCATTAAAATAATGACACAAAATTAGAGAATGCATATACTCCATCCGTTCCCCAGTTTTTGTCCACTTTCATTTTTACACACTATCCAATGCACTTCTTTAATCCATTTTATCTTGTAATTCGTATATTAAAAAATTATAGAAATTATATATTAAAAATCTATATGTTAAGACAAATCAAACAAGATCACACATGACTATATTTAGGCTTACACATTGAAAGAATTTGATCTCATTTCATTTTTTAACAATTAAAATATCACAACTACCCCCACTTACTTTATTTATTACACCTCACCCACCTCATTTAATACACTCCACCCATTTTCATTAAGGGTATTATGGTAAACTTTTACCTTTTTTCAACTCTCCTTAAAAATCAATAAAAAAATTCAAAATGAGAACATCTTAGGGAGACGGAGGGGGTAGTTAATAAAGATTCATATGATATACAAAAATTAAACTCCATATAATATTTTATTTGAGAAGCAATAAAATATACAATGTTTATTTTCTATTAAAAAAAGTCTATTTCTATATAATAACAAAATCATACATAAAGGCATATTAAAATAATAATTCAGTGAAACAGATGTTTTAAAAATAGTTTTAAAGTGAAAGGTTTGATAAACATTTAATGAAAGTAATGGCTATTTAATGTCTGAAAACGAAGAATTTTACTCCGTATAATAAAAATTTAAAACATTGTGAATAGTTTTGGGAAGTAATAAAATGAAAAATAGCGAACAGCTTTAGAAATGTATTATTAATCTTTTTAAAGAGACAATGTTCATACGAAGTAAAACATTTTAAAATAATAAAAGCATTTTTTTTAATTTAAAACTTGATCATTTAAGTTAGAAAATGAATAGATTATAAAATTCAACAAAAGTAATGATGATTTTATATTAATTTTAAATAGAATAAAAGCAGAAATTGATCAACATAAAACACAGATTGAATATAAGTACAAGTAAATTTTAATTTAAATCAGCATAAAACATAGATAATCTCACTTATCTTCATATCACCACCAAAATTGATCGTCCCAAAATCATTTATAATAAAAGTGGAAAAGATAACTTCTTTTATCTTTGTATTACGATCAACTTCTAATAAGTCCATTTCAGCTTGTCCCACCTAACTATGCACAGATTTGTTGCAGAGTCCCCTTATCAAACACATTACCATAACGTTCTAAATCACACAGTATTATCGACCGAAGGTGTAAAGCAAAGAGAGACTGATGCGGAAGAACGATGCCTGTTTGCGCAAAGACAGTGCCTGCCATAATAGACAACAACCCATATTTGAATCACAACCAATAGTGAAAATCTTCAGTCACAAATACAGAGCAGATATTTCAAAAGTTATTACTGGGGGAAGGAAACTAATGAAGAACATTCCTAGCTAGAGGAGAGGCTGAATCAGCAAGATAATACAACACGTTTCCATATGGGTCGACATGGAATCTGTTATGATCAAAAGCAAGATAATACTCGAAATCTTGATTTTTGCATTCAGAAAACAGCCAAGATAATGCCATATGCCTGAAGAAGCAATAAAATTTGGGGATCAACCTATAGATTTCCTGTGCACTTTCTAACCTCTCTACAACACAAAAACAGGTTACCTTAAATCTGACTTTGTTGAGGCAAAATTGGATAAAACCTGTTTCAAGGACAAACCAGACAACCAAAGTCGGAGATCCCATCAATGCATGAGAAATTCTAGTTGGTTTTGCTTTTTCTTCACACTTGCCATCGTTATATTCTCATATTCACTCGGAACGTTAAACCCCCTCCTGCATTATTTTTAAAATACTCAAAGAGAACAAACTCATAAAAAACTAAGAAACTGATGCAAATATTGACAAACTTCAGTAAACAAATACAGAGCATATAATTCAAAAGGTTATGACTTGATATCATATTAGAAAGAAAGATTTCACTTTTTTAGGGATGACAAAAGCGCTATGACATAGAAGATCTGATTAATGAGTGACCCTGCAAGAACGCCACAGGTTTCCAAATTGTTTGTGTTCGACTTTGTTAGTTTTATGAGAGTATCATTAAGAGTTGTTGAAATGAGCGATTGAAGCACAACACAAATTAGGAACTATACAATCACACATCTGCCTCAAGGACCTGAGATGGTGTTTTCGGGAGCAAATCATGTACCTCTACAAGTACTTACAGTGAAGAGGGTTGTACCATAGCAACAACAACCTGAAAGACAAAAAACAAGAACCCTAACAACAACACCAACCAAAGTAATAGAATGACTCTATGAGAAATTGAAACTTGTAATTGTAACTTAAACATTCACTACAAAAACAAATTGAAACTAAACGTAAAATTATTTAATAATGTATCAACAAATTCATGAAAATGGAATTTAAAAACAAATATGAAAATCAAAACGTGCAGACTGCAGAGTAATAAAAAAATAAAATTGTAACTTGATACCTTAAACCGTGCTCCCTTCGTTGTTGTTGTCTGGTTCCTGTTTGCCTGCAAAGAAAAACGTAGGTCTTGCACAACCGCCGCTCGTTTGCCAGAAAAAAGTTAGATGAGGAGAGAAATGAAAAATTAGCGATAAGAAAAGAGGAGTAAACGAGAAGACAAATGAGCAAAATACGAAGTAAGAGGCTGGTATTGCTACAATAACGGGCACGGCTTCTAACATGCACGGTTATGGTTCATTTTAGCAGGAAGAACGTTCACATTGTTGTTGTAAAGACGAAGATAGAGAATAAGTAGAGATATCGGTTTTTTAAAAAAATCTAAAATTATTTTACGAAGTACCAAATAAGGTTTTAATTTTGACAAACAATCCAATGCAAACTATATCCAAAAGGAAAAAATCAGCAACCAAATGCACCATTCTGATAAAACATAGAGTAATTGATCCCAAAATTTGGTAGCAATATTGTTTTGAATTCAGAATAATTTTCAAGCAGGCATTCTAATTTTTGAATAACATCTTTATAACTAAGCGAACAAACTTTATCCACTATGCCTTTATTGATTAGGACATTATACTATATCATTCACCAGAATTTGCTCATAATAATGATGTAGTTGTCACTATAGACAAGATCATAGATTATATTGATAAGTTGTATTGCTTGTTTGGTTGTACTCGAAAATCCTTAGGGATGATGGCTTGTGACACGGGTTTTGCATATGTGGGGATGATAATAGTTACTCGGTAAGATATCGACTCCAAGGTTCTAGTAGAAGAAAATGGTAGTACGTTAAATCAAGCTTACCAAATCAACTTTTGCAACATCAAATCTGTTCGACTCATTGATGATGAGCCCCCTTTGTTTATTTTGATTGTGGAAAAGATGACGGTGTCTAATGAATTGCGTTCATCACGATTTCACTGTCGAATCCTATGTGTAGTTCATAACAAGTGGTGGGAAACAAAATTTACAATGCGAGCAATTTGTTAAAATGGTTCATGAATCACTCAAAGTGCGTATATTTGCATTTGTCAATTGCAATGTATTTAGTATTGAGATATTCAAGTCGTATAAGTATGGCTCTGGTAGCTTAGAATTTATAAGTCAAAATTTAGCGGTTTCTCCTATCGAGCTCATAGGGTTGTTTTATTCTGACCTAGTTGAACGTGGCATGGAGAATGGTATGGCACCGCTCAAGAAAATAGATTTTAACAAAACAATTTCTCTTTTAGAAGAACCTTGGATTCAACTTGAGCCTCACAGTCAAAGTCTTTAAAATCTATCTTGGAGAACAAGAAGAAAACTGATTTTGAACTATTATCACATAAGAAAGGATGTTCCTATTGCATAGATGATTATTTATTTGAGAAGCTACGCTTTCATTTGAAGGAGACGAAGAACAAGAAGACTGAATTGAATACAAGAAAGAAAATATGTGAATCAAAAAAAACAATAGGAAGAAGAAGTTTAGTGAAAAAAAGCGTGGGAAGTCTGGTTTTTTTTGTGATGAGAAAAATGTGTCGTTATGTTGGATTGTTACATCATTATATAATGTTTAGATGAATCTTATTGAGGTGGGCAGACGAAAACTTTAGCATACTTATCGAGCGTTCTGATCTTGTGGTTTATAGGCCTTTGTGATCCTTGCAAATGACTATTGTAGTGATGTGGTGATGTTGGTTTTGATGGATGAATATAAGTACTTGATGTTGGTGATTTTAGTGTCATCGGTTTATTTTGTGTAATTGGATTTACTTCGATCGGACAAGAATTTAAATAGACGTTGTCAAACGAGTTAGGAGGCGCAGAGTACGTGCTCGTTCAACGATATTATAAATTCATGGCGAGGGTCCGGGGGCGGCAGCCCCGGGATAGCGGGGGTCCGGGGGCGGCAGCCCCCAGTTAGCGGGGTCCAAGGGGCGGCAGCCCCGGGCGGATAAACGTTAAAATACCCCAAAACCGCAGGAAGCTCCTCGTTTAAACTCGCACCTATCTTCTTCTCCGCGCGAAATGTTTACGCGAAGGTTCATGTCCGATCATGGAAATTTTAGACTCCATAAATTAGAGTCTCGTGGTATGGATTGGTAGACGATTTTCGAGTGCTTGTTCTAATTTAACGTCTTATCCGATTGAAGTATTTCGTATACCCCGAAATAACTTTGATCTGAAAGCGTTTCGTACGTGATTCGTTATACTATCGAGTTCTTCTTTTAACACTGCTTTGCAGTGTTCATCCTTTTCAAATTCCAACACTTGAGAGTCTATTGAAATGGAATGGTTTATTGATAGAAATGATTAGTTTAATTTAGTGAAATTGTTTGGTCGTTAAAATGTTTGGAGCTTTATATTTTGTGTATGTTTAGGTTCATTTGTAAACTAATGAAAAAGGAAGGGTCATGTTCTTGCATGAATAACATGTTAGGTCTCAATGATTTAGAAGTTTTTGCAGATCATGTTATTACTTGATGGAAATTGCTATTTAGTTTTGTGTTTAAACAAATTGATTTATGATGGGAAATTAATTTTTGGAGTTAGTGAGCTATGTGTGTGTAATGTGATATCAACCCCAGAATAAAGAGCATTGGTGTATTGCTAGGTGCAATATACATATTTACCTTTCTACTCTACTCGTGTGTTTCAGAATAGACCAGAAATGCCCCCTAGTTGAAGCTTGCCGTGGCAGCAAGAGAGATGTATGTTGATGCTATTACACCTCATTGCAGAGGTTTGTTAATGTTTGCAGGCTTTCTTTATCCAGAGCAAACCCAAATATTACCTTCTTCATCTCAAGCCTGGCTTCTGTAGTGGATTATCACAAATTTGTTATCTATCTTTATCGAGCACAACGGGAACACATTCACGTGTGTAAAATGTGTATATAGTTGAAGAAGGGATTTTCACACAGTTAAATGTGTTAAGGCTTTAATAAAATTAGGAAATGGGTTAACACATTTACATGGGAGCTAAGAAAGTTAATAATATTTAGAAATGGGATTTCATCATGTTTACAAAAATTAGGAAATGTGTAAGACTTGGTGGATTTTTTTCTTGAATTTTTTTAATTTACCATTTCACACCAAACACATTGGAACTAGATTAGTAAGGATTTCTCATTAAAAATATAGAATGGTGGATTTTAAAACACATTCAAACGGGATTTTTACCCTTTCACGAAAATCAGAAAAATCCATCAAAAATTACAACAACAAATCAATAAAATTAATTTACCTGGCAGTGGAGTTCAACGGGCAGGGGTTTGAGAGGGAATTGCTCCATCCTCCACCGCTGCGCCACTGCCGAGTTCGATCGAGATCCGCCGCGCCAAGTCGTCGTTGCCCCTTCGCCGGCGCCGAACGAAGATTGGTTGATGGATGGTGTCTGTTTGGAGAGATGGTGGTGGAGATGAGTTGGTGCACTTTGGAGAGAAGAGGGAAAGTAGTGAAGAGATGAAAATTGAAGAGGGAGAGGGAGACGACGGCGATTTCTGATGCGAAGACCTGCGATCCAAAATAAGGAGTACTTGGTCCGTTCATCAAATTATTGTAAAGCCCTAAATCAGAATTTATCCGGACCTGAGACTGACCCATCCTATAAAAGTATAAATCATTATGGTCCGGGTTTGATCGTCAGTTTCAAACTCCATCCACCCCACTAAAATTGAATATCTCAAAAGGGTATATCATTTTATAAATTAAATAGTAATAGATTCATTTTTAAATATAATTTTAAAAATCATAATTTTGCAATTTATGTTATATGTAAATAAATATATGGATAGTCAAAATAATGCGTTAGAAACCATAAAAAATAATAACGAAGAAAATTATGGGACAGATGAAGTATATTTGTATCAATAATTTTATAATTCATCCTTTAAAAGTGGACTGTTTTTATATATTTAGTCATTCATTATCATATACTTGTACTTTAAGTTGTGTCATGCACAGGTAAAATAATATTGTTTTTCTATGGAAAAATTTTATTCTTCTCCCATGCATTAATTTATATTTATATATAAATAAATATATACTAATGGTCAAAATAACGCAGCAAAGACGGTAAAAAGATAAAGATGAAGAAACTTATTGGACGGATTGAATACATTCATGAGATTTAATTTTATGATTGATGTTTTAAAGCTCCGGATTTTTCATATTCAGTCATCTATTGTCAAATATTACTACCTATGTCCAAATTGGAATCGTCTATTTTGGTTTACAATGTCCGACTAAAGTTAATTTCAAATTATTATATATGAAAAATGGTGTATAATTAAAAGAATAAAATTACATATTTAAAAAGTACATCGAAAGAACAATAAAACAAATGGTGATATGATTATATTAGTACTTTATCAAATGACCAGCAAAAATCGAGAAACAAAATAGATAAAGTTTGATCATATGTTAATAAACAACAAATTAAATTTGGGACGGAGGGGGTAATATTCTAAGTGATGCCACGCACATATAAAGTAACTGTTTGCTATTCAATAAAAAATGATTTTCTCCCACACATTAAAAAGTATTTCATCTCTCCAATATTATTTAAAATATATGAACATTGAATAATGATTACATAAAAAATCAATTAAAAAGTACGAAAATATAATGATTCTTCTCCTCACATTAATTTAAATAATGTTAATACTACTCCCTCTGTTCCCCATAGATCTTCCCAATAGTTCTTTTTCTTTGTCCACAATAGATCTTCTCATTTCATTTTTTTACAATTAAAATACCACAACTACCCCCACTTACTTTATTTATTACACCTCACCCACCTCATTTAATACACTCCACCCATTTTCATTAAGGGTATTACGGTAAACTTTCATCTTTTTTCAACTCTCCTTAAAAACCACAAAAAGTCAAAATGAGAACATCTTAGGGGGGCGGAGGGAGTATAAAAATAGTGCAAATTCTATAATTAGTCTCTTAGAAACAATGATTCCAAAAATTGATTTAGAGACAACTAAATTTTGAAAATGCAGTTGGCATTAGAGGTGGGTTCAGATTGGGCCTAGAATTTACCGGTGAAGTAAAATTATCAATTTTATGGCCCATGTCAAATGACAAAGGGGCTAATGTGCCCCCTAATTAAAAAATATATTCCCTCTGCTCAAAAATAATATTCTTACTCACTATTCACAATATCAAACTTTAATCACTATTGTTTATCTGTTTTCAATGCCTATTTGATAAAATAATATACCCATATCACCTTTTTTATTTTTTTAATTATACACTATTTTTTATATAAAATCATTTGAAAATAATTTTCAATCAAATAGGAAGTATATTTTTGGACAGATGACCGAGGGGCTACGTTTGTAAAGTTGGGGGGTGCACGACCTTATCTAGAACCCAGTGAAACACCATATGGCCATCGCCCATCAAGAGGCTCAGTGTCATGTTATGACACCAATAACTAGTGTCTAAAGAACTGCACCCTTCCTTTTTTTAAAACATAAGTAGTACTCCGTAATGTTTTGGCTAAAGATAGATGGAATTAGTGGAAAGTTTACAATAATAGCCCCTCTTCCTCACATAGCACATTAGCACTTTATCAATTCTAAATTCTAATAAGTGGTTATAGAAATGTCAATATGTTGTTAATCATTACAAGAAGAATATATGGAAAACCCTAATAAGGATTCTCCATTTGACACAAAAGAAGGAACCTAACCTTCTGAATATTGAGTTCCCAAAATGATGGCAACTAAGATCCAAAGCATAACTACACCTGTGATGATGATCTTTATAAGGGGTTCCTTTCTCAGAGGATAACACCTAGGACTTACGTAAGAGACGGTATGAGCCTGAAGTTCAGGGGCATTTTCGTCATTCGAGCTATGGGAAGCGGGAGAGCCTGTCGACTGGATTTCTTGGACTGCAACATCTGCATTCTCGGGAGGGGAACATTTTGAGCACGGGCAATTCCCGCCAAGGAAAGAAGGGACCTGCTCCAGCTTCTTTGAGAGATACTCCTCGTAGTTCCTTCCTATGATCTCCACTTTCTTCCTCGTGGCTGGTCTCAAAACCTGCATCCATATAATTTTGTACTTTAGGCTGGTTTTGATTGCAGAAAAGTAGGTCATGGTGGGAAACTGGCATCTTGGAAATATTTCCGGTCGAAAATGCATATTTTTTGGAACACAGTTACAGTATATTGTTCACTCATAAATAAAATTAAAAAAAAAAAGTAAAGCTGTTTGAAGTTGGAACCCAGAAAATAATAGAGAAAGAAAACAGGAAGAAAAAAATGTAAGAGTATTGGAAGAAAAAAATGTGGTCTACTGGGCGTGTGGGTCTAAAAGTATATTCTTTAATTGTCATTTTCCTTATTCATAGATACTCCCTCCGTCACATGGTTGTCGGCGGTGGATAGCCTGATTTTTCAACTAAAAAATTTAGTTTACCTGGAGAAATGTTCGCATTACCACATGGGCAACTCGAGGGATGCGTATGAGCATTAGTAGATAAAGATGGTTAGGGTAATGGTCTTGGAGAAGGGTGGCACAAGATCTCATCATCTGGAGAGGGAACCCAAGAGGTGACAGTCCATCACAATCCATCAACACCACAATCTGAGGATGCTCCATATCAACAAAGCTCACAATTCCATGTTCTATCTGTGAAACTGAAGAATCAAGAAAAAAATAAGTTCAGCACAGGCTTTAATTGACGTGATAGTATCAAATTTCTAACTCGTGGCCGTATCATGCTATTTTCCATGCATGTACAAATGATCTTCTGTGATGGTAACGGTTTAGAATTTACATATCATTATTCCTTATTATGAAGGTTACCCCTCCCGCATTCTGCCATGACAATTCATTGACAATGTGTTTCCCCTCCCGCATTCTGATAAAATATGAATAGACAGATCATTTTCATCCTTTAAGCCACCTCAACTTTGACTACAGTGTCCAAAATCCTAGGGCAACTAAGTGCTTCTCAAATGATGTATCTGGCACATTTTGCAAAAGGCTCTTTTAGTAAAAAAAGGAATTAATGGGTAGAAATCAGAAAACTACCCCGTATTGTCCAATGATCTCACTAAAATTCTTTCATGTTTATGTAAATTTCAAAAGCATTAAATAATATCCAATAATATGATGTTTACTTCTCCTTCCAGAAAAATTGCATGATTGTTAGTTGATATAGTTCCAAATGTGCACAAATTGATTAAATTGAGAGCCTAGATTCAGAGTTTATTTTAAAATATAAACACTAGGTAATCCCTTCTGATTTATCACACTATGTATTAGAAGAAATTAATCAATTAAGAACCTAGATTCAAATTTTCGTGCCAAATATACACACTACTTATGCCTTTTTGTCATCACTCTGGCGAAATTGAGCATACTTCAAGTGCTACAAACATGTCATATTTTGTTGGTCGATGAATTAAAATATGTAACATAGTTCTTTATTTTGCAACCAACCTAAGGCACGAATTGCGAGTTGTTACTAATAAGAAAAATAATTACCAATAACTTTTGCAAAAAGATCCCTATCACTGGACTTGAGGTTGGAACAAGCAAGTCCAAGGCGAATGATGAGACAAGGAAGTTTCTTCGAATCATATCCATGCCAAAAGACCAAATTAGACCATGCATTTAGCTCTTGTGATGATAGAAAATTGTAGCTCTGCCTCCATTGAATTGTCTTCTTGACCAATGACAATGTCCTTTGGTAATCATATTTAGTAGACGCATAAAAGCGGTGAAGGTAATCATCATTGAGCCTATCAAGACAGCACCATGGAAGATCAGAGCATAATCAGATAGAATTGTGGAACTTTTTTATGGTACGGAGGGAGTATTAACATTTACACAGCATAAATTAAAATGAAACAGGTTCATTTGACTATTTTCGTGTATTAAAAATTGTTTTAGGCATCCAATTCAACACGTCACTACAGAAGTTACTTTCACCTTTGAGGTAGAGTAATGTCTTCCATTCGGAGCTGATTATGGAGGTCAAGCAACCAACTCTCAGAAAGGCGATTATCTGGTCCGTTGTGATGAATGCTGAGAAAAAAATTGTAGTCACAACTCACACGGTTATACAAACAGTCTTAACACTAAAGCCCCTTATTCAAAATGGATAAAAGAGAATGATAACCATTTGTATCCATTCACCTCAAAAAAATTACCTTGCCTCTGAAGAGTTGTGAGTTGCATGCTGCAACTGAGATTCAGGTGTTTGAGAAACATTAGGATTCCACAATGCATCTTGATTTGGTGAAGAGTCATCAGAGAAAAGAGTTGCTACTGAAAGAAATAACATTGGTCCAGAGATTTTCTAGCAAAACAAATAAGATTTCACTGCAATGACCATTTCAGATGCATAAAAAATATGCAGGAAAGATGAATCACAAATACTGAATCAAGGTTAGAAGGTACTACGGTGCATTACATTAGGATCTTATAACTGCAGTCACAACTCACAAACAACATAAAACACAAATTCAGAACCATCATAGTCTCTGATTCCGAACACCTTAAACAATACCCTAACAAATTAAAATATAAATTACGGTGGTAATGGACTTGGCTTACATCAATATACAGAGTATTGGGTTTAATTCAACCAAATTTACAATATATGGTTAAAAGGTTATACATTTGCCAAGATAAAACTTGATTAAGATTGATATATTAGATATACAGTACATAAATGCTCCGATATCAAAGTAATTTCATCACAAAAATATCCATCTGCATTGCATCAACAAGTGAAACTCTGCTGGAAAGTATGTACGAAAATGCTAGGTGAATATCTAAACGAAAAACCTCCCCTCTAACAAGGAGGGAATTGCACAAACCAGTTTAACACACATACCCGAAGGGATCCTATGAGACTATATAACATGGATTTTAGAATGAGAAACCAACCTGCATTCCTTTGGCTAGAGGCTTGAAAGGAATCCATCTCTGCATCCACTTAAACGGCGGATAGCATAAAGCTTGTAATGCCTGAAGACTATTCCAAATGAAAGGACACTTTGACTTTGAAAATCTCCTCAGAACTTCTAGCGCCGCCGTCGTAATGAAAAACATAGCCACATTATTCACAGCTCCGCTAGTTCGTAAACATTTATTAACTGATTTAATGCACTTCAAAGCCTTCGCCGTGAAGTGCTCAGAGGCCGTAGCAACTAAGTAATTTTTGGGTAACTTATTTTTGTTGCTTACGATCCTGGCATCCATTCTTTGTGTTGGGCCACGCGATGCATCTCCCAATTCCCTGTCCATAGATTTACCTATTACAAATAGTTTAACAATTGTTTGGACCTTAAAGATTCCTCCACTTCACTTCACATAGCATTCATCTAGCAACCTACAAGGCAATCCAACTGTAAGCGGAAAACTATAATACGGAGTACAAAACAAGGCAAACAATTAGCAATTTTGAGATTTAAAAATAAATTAGAAAAAAAATTATCAAACAAAAGCAGCTCGAATTCTTTAGAAACGTTTCTCTGGATATTCCTAAACCCCAAAGGGGGGAAACGATATATAATCTGAATGCCTACAAAAAAACAGTAGAATCGCAATAATCACGAATGAGTATCGATCGATTACCTCAACCAACAAACTCCAGCAACGGTAGTGATCTCTTTTGAAATTTCTCTTGAATATCCCCCTTTTCCATTGATTCCTCTTCAGATTCCTGGTACAAAAAAAGGTATTGATTGGAAGCGTAAAACTCGCTAGGGTTTAGAGATGGAGGAGACGAAGCAGAGAGTGGCGACGTCAAATTCCCCTGACGATGATTTGCTCCATGTCTGTAATCCTCCTTCCTGTGTGAGCGAGAGAGAGAAATGGGTTGATGAAGAGGAGATTTCACGTGTTTGGGGTAGGCGCCGCTCTGTTTTTTTCCTATTGCCCGGACCGACACGGGCTATGGCTCTATTTGGAGGATGGGGACATAGGACTTATATAGGAGTATTCCTTGCCTGTTTTCCCAATGCACCATGCTTCGTTTTTGTTTTAAAAAAGGACCGTGCTACAGTGCACCCGTGGATGCATCCTATGCTGCCTCCCTATTTAAGGTGTTTTTTTACCTTTTTTTTCCTTTCCTCTACGTCGCTCTGGCTCTGCTATTCGGCTCCAGCGACCCGCTCTCTTCTCCCTGCGCTCTCCTTCTTGGCAGGTAAGCTCTTCTTTTTCTTATCTTCTCATTCATATCTCTGATGCGCAACCCCTGTAGCACGACAATTCCTTTGTCAATCTCTTCTCTTCATTCCGTTTTTAGTCAATTTCTATGGCAATAATTTTTTGAATTTTTGTAGAGTACATAGGATATTTGGTGATTATGGACTTACAAACATCTATTGTTACACATGTTGAGAATGAGCAACCACATGATTTTGGTGGCGAAGAAGAAGACCTGGTTTTATATGAGTTGCAGCCCAGTTGTAAGTGTTGATATTTAGACCACATTCTATATTCATTTGAAGTAGCGAAAAAAACTGTTTTGTTTTCGTGTTACAGAGATTAAAGTTCTGTGAATCTAGGGTTTGTCCTTGTCACAGACGCTAAATATCTGTATGCAATCTGCATTTGCTGTAGAACGACCATCCCTCTCTCAATCTCTTCTCTTCATTCCATTTTTAGTCAATTTATATAGCAATAATTTTTTGAATTTTTATGGAGTACATAGGGTATTTGGTGATTATGGACTTACAAACATGTATTGTTACACATGTTGAGAATGATCAACCACATGATTTTGGTGGTGAAGAAGAAGACCTGGTTTTATATGATTTGCAGCCCAGTTGTAAGTGTTGGTATTTAGACCCCATTCTATATTCATTTGAATTAGTAAAAAAATACTATTTTGTTTTGATCTTACAGAGATTAAAGTTCTGTGAACCTAGGGTTTGTCCTTGTCACAGATGCTAATAATCTGTATGCACTCTGCATTTGGTGTATTTTTGTTTTCTTCATAGTCAGACATTGTACTATATTAAAGGTGCTGTTTTTTTGCAGAGAAAAACCCGAAACCGAAAGAAGGTAGAAAAAATGATAACCTACCTAATAAGAGGAAGAAAATGGATGCGTCTGAGATCTTTGCATCACAACGGCATCATGCTTGGCCCGTGCAAGACGAAGATGGTGTTTACGACCTCACCTTGGGAGGTCTGGAGCTTGGCATTTCACAACATTGACTTTTAATTGTCCTTTTTTGGCATCAGATATAGAACTTTGCTCTCATGTTTGGATTGAGCATGGGAACTGTATTTCACATAGCTTTTTGCTTTTTGTGTAAAGTATGTAACAAATATGATAACTTTCTCTGAGTTCCATGCACATAAACTGATGTAAACATGATGTAACTCTGTTTTTACATACATTAAGTCTTTGTGAAGTGTGTGAAATAGACAGTTATTCTATGTGAGCCCGCTGAAATTTCTTTTTACCTTTACAAGACCCCCACATATGTGATAAGATTCTGAAGATGGTGTATGTACATAAAGTTATGTAACTCTGTCGTCACATACATTAAATTTCTGTGAAATGGATAAAATACACACTTATTCTCTGTGAGGGTTCTGAAAGTAAAACTGTAAATCAGTTATAAACTAATGTAAATCAGTCATCACATACATTAACACATTGTGCATTAACAAGTACAAATTCATGATTATAAAAGCCCCATTACAAAGCTTTCATAAAAGCCTAAAGTGTTTCCCCAAAAAATACATTACAAAGCACAAAAACAATGAATTGGGGATGAAGTTTACAAACATTGAAGAAATCTGAGAACACTATCTGGTTGATGTAACTCTGTCTTCACATACATTAATTCTCTGTGAAGTGTGTGACATAGACAGTTATTCTATGTGAGCACCATGAAATCTAATGTATGCGTTTTAATTTTCTTTTTACCTTTACAAGACCACCACATATGTGATAAGATTATGAAGATGGTGTATGTGCACAACGTTATGTAACTCTGTCGTCACATACATTAAATCTCTGTGTAATGGGTAAAATAGACAGTTATTCTCTGTGAGGTCTCTGAAAGTAATCCTGTAATTCAGTCATAAACTAATGTAAATCAGTCATCACACACATTAACATATTGTGCATTAACAAGTAGAAATTCATGATGATAAAAGCCCTCATTACAAAGCTTGCAAAAAAATCTAAAGTGTTTCCCCAAAAAATACATTACAATGCACAAAAACCATTACAAAGAGTTTCACAAAAATTAAAGACCCCTAAAATTGTAAATTAAAAAAAGCTAAATATTGGTTGTTTTCCTTCCACGCCATAATCTAGCTGCAAATTGACATCAGAAATCAGCCATGTGTTCAGAACTACAGTCCTTTTCTTAATGGTAACCCAACCAATTGGAGTCCTGCGAAATTCTTCCATTTGACTAGGACTCAATTTCTTCTCAATGTTATTGATGGCTTCACGGATGTCAGAACAAACTGAGTATTGAGCTCCAAAATGAGCACTAACAGGGATCAACAAAGACATCATCTGAAATGAAGTTCAATTAACACAAGTTAAATATATACACAGACAATAATCATATATGAAGTTCAATAAACAGAAGTTAATCGTCTATGACATACGTACAATTCACAGAAAGCAGGCAAAAATAACAAGCAAACCTCTTTCACAGACAATAATGTTCAGAGATCTTTTAACATTTGCAGCCTCTAAATTCTATCCATGTAAATAGTCATTAGGCATCAAGTCTCGTTGCTTATTTAATTAAGTTTAAGACAAAATTATATCTATGTACTGTAATTCATAACGAAGTCCGATAGAAAATTTAGAAAACCTTACTGTTTGGAGTTCAACCTAGGTTTAATCAAGAAATCATGAAATAAAATGGAAAATTGGGAAGAAGACGGGAACGACGGGAACCCCCTAGGGTTTATATCAATTTTAGAAACAGAGAGAGATCAAGAAAGAGACCAAGGAAAGGGAAGTTAGCGTGAGTACCTGTTCGGAGGGGTGGGGCTGCCGGCGCTGGAGCTGGAGGGGTGGGGCTGCCTGCGCTTGAGCTGGAGGGATGGGGCTGCCGGCGTTCCTGTGCTCTCGACGGAGAAGAAGGATGTGAAGCGGGAGAAGGGAGATTTGGGAATTTTGGGGAAAAAGACGGGAGACGAAAAGACTAAGAAAAAAGGGAAATTAAAAAAATTAAATATATTGGGTGGCATGCTTGGAGGCACACGTGGTGCCTCTTTAGCATTCTCCTTTAAAAAAACCATGAGCCTCATCTATTTGATTGGGACAGACGGTTTTGGAAAGAAAATGGGTGTTTGTTTCAGCCTCTTAATGGTTTAGATGTCTGAATGGTTTAGCACTTAATGGTTTAGACTGTTTGTTTCAGCCTCTTAATGGTTCAGATGTCTGAATGATTAAGAGATATGCCTCTGAATGGTTAAGTATTATACAGAGTCTGAATGGTTAAGACCTCTTATCTGAATTGATCAGACATTTGCCTCTGAATAGTTAAACAATATACTAGCTCTTAATGGTTCAGACCTCTTACTGGTTCAGCACTTAATGGTTCAGACCTCTTACTGGTTCAGCACTTACCCATTCAGAAGTTGTCAAACAGTCTCTAAATTGAATCGCGATTGTATATTGATCATAAGTGTGAAGCATGTACTTCGTATTTATAGAGGTCATATGTTTATAATTATATCTTAGCGTATTTGTGAAAAAATCAAACTTAAATCATACTCCCTCCGTCCCGCTATATTCGTCCACTTTTAACTTTTGAAACTGTTCATTTAAGCACTTTGACTCATCAAATTATCTCAATATGTAAGCCTAAATATAGTCATGTGTGATCTTGTTTGATTTGTCTTAACATATAGATTATTAATATATAATTTTTATAATTTTTTAATAAACAAATTACAAGATAAAACGGATTAAAGAAGTGTATTGGATGATGTGTAAAAATGAAAGTGGACAAATACTCTGGGACGGAGGTAGTATCTTTTTAATACTTCTTGTTTTTACCATCTGCAAGACGCTAGCCGGCACCATGGTTTTTTGGTAAACGGATATATAATACAAATGGGTATACTTAGAGTTAGGTACATCCAGCAATTGTTCATTTAGAATTAATATAGTATTCATTCTAAAACAATGTAGCGTTTAATTTGCACTATTTATTCATTACAACTATAATATTCATTTCCGAACAACGTAATGTTCATTCCAAGTCTGTTCAGCGTAGTGTTATAACATAGTGTTCATTTTGAAATAAAAAGAATGCTCAAAATAATTGAAAAGCAGACAACCATCAAGCTTTGTTTCAAGCATACCACCACCACTACCTCCACATACTCCAACGTTTCACCTTGCCTTGTTCCATCCACAAATTGAAGGGATGAGACGACTCTGTTAAATCTGCGGTTAAGATTTTTCACATTTGTCGTTGTGCTCGTTGTTCACATTCTTTAGGAAGTCATTGGTTCTCCTCTTCTTCATCTTCAATTGGCTATTCAATTGTTAATTCTTCTCTTTTGCAAAAAAATAAGATTGGTTGTACGATTTTTCCCGTGCAACCATTTCTATAGAGAATTTGCGTTCTTTTCATGCCAAAAAATTAAAAATGACGAACTATATCCCTAAGGATCCCTTAAAACTGACAAGGCAATCGTTTGAGAAGAGGCCAATTGAGCTTTAATCATAGACAGTAGCAAATAGTTACTATGAATCGAACTCGAATATTACCTCCAAGACAACTATTGTTTTGTTAATTACGCAACACCTATTAATACAAAAAATGGACTCAAGTTTATTGTTTTTTCGTTTTAACTTAAAGGTTAATGTTTTTTTTTTATTTTAAATTATCAAAGATTTTTAAGGGTGTATTTAGTGAGCAAAAGAAATATAGGTTTTGATATTTTCAGATATCACTCTTTTTTTGATGTATGGTGAAGTCAAAAGAAATATCGAGTTGATATCTTCAGGTATCATAAATCTTTTAAACGAAGAGTTTAATATGTTTATACAAGCAATTCTCACAAAACATAAAAATGTGTTGTTGGTACTTGGTTGGTCAACGGGCCTACGAAGCATGTGCGACAGTGTGAGGGATTAATTAAGCACACAATTGGGCTTGCTTCTTTAATTACGAATGCAGGAAGAAAGCGAGGCAGCTCAGCGGCCCAACTACTCCCCATTTAATTTTTCAACCACGCCATTGAAGCCTTCCTTCTTCTCCATCTTCCTCCACCGCACATACAAATTACAGCCACTCCGATTCCAACTTCCTCTCACACAGATTCGAGAAATGAAGGTCTCCGTCGTCACCAGGAGCGGCAGAGAGCTCGTCAATGGCGGCCTTGACCTCGGAGATTCTGTACCTCTTCTATTCTCTCTGTCGTTTTTTTAGTTTCGTCTCTCTAGAGCTTCTGGTTTCTCGCACGTCTTCATTGATTTCAGATCTGATTTTTTTGATTTTTTTCAGGCCACGGTTTCCGATCTGCAGGAAGAAATTCACCGACGGAGTGAGTTTTGCTCTTATTCTTATTTTTTTTCTCATGTTATGAGTTTTAGCTAGCACTGGAAAATATTTTTTATTTAAATATTTTATTGGTATCATTTGTTATTACTCCGTATTAAATTAGATAGAACTGGATTTTACTTACCTATATAAAAGCTACGTTTTTTACTAGAGAAATGCTAGAGTTTGACTGATTAAGACTTGCGGAGTGAGACACATGTAGTAGTAATTATGAGCCAGTGTTTGTCTTTCAGATCCTTTTCTTTTTAAGGACACTGGATCCAAAGAAATTTCATTCTAAACTTTTGAAAGGATATTTTGCGAGATGCAAGAACTAATTACCATAGCAAACAAATTATTTCATTTGGGATCTGAAAGATTGGATTAATCAGCAAGCTGAATGGGAGGAACATTATTATAAGTTTAAACCCCATAGTTCAGTAGTAGAGAGATCAAGACAAATGTTTGCACAGGTCTACTACTGGCATTAGAGACATTAGAGTAATAGTTATTTTTTTATAAAGTTGATTTACTTGATTAGGGAGGTATCTGACCTTTCCATGGAAAATGCTCAAATTTCAAGGATAGAGAATGACTTCCCACATCCTCACTTATTCTTTACTTAACATGGAGAGTAAATGAATAGACTAAAGCATTCCTTAGTATAGAAAGTAATTAGTTTCCTTACCAAATAATTGAGGGAAAAATGTCTCTATTGTTTTAGTATAAAGGATTAAAGGTATCTTTAATCAGTCAAATAAGATTATTTTTCCAATTCGAGAAGGTAAGTGATTCCTATGGAAGATGCTGGAATCATTTTCCACTCAAGATTGGAAGTGATTGAATGCTAAGTAATACCCATGGAAAGTGTGAAAGGCCCCATATATTAACCACATTCCTCCCAAACTAATAGTGTCTTTGTTATGATATGATGGAAAATAAACATGTGGGAAGTTGTTTTGTAATAGTCTTATGATTGTTGTACTTTGTTAGTGTGTCAGTTGTTTCTCTCTTTGTTCTTTGCTTGTACTTCTGTATTTGAGTTGGGTTTTTTTTGGGGCGGGGCGGGGGGGGGGGGGGGGGGGGGTGTGTGAGTTCTTGGAACACTACATTCTTCATGGTAGGGTTAAGGTCTGCGTACACACGCCACCCCCTCCCCAAACCCTACTTTTTGTGGATTTTTACTGGGTTTGTTGTTGTATAGTCTTATGATTGCTTTATGTTCTGGTTTTTACCCTCCTTACCTATTATTGCATTCATGTTCACAATTGATAACCGGTTTTATGGTTAAACATCTGACATTTACAGCCAAGAAATACTATCCTTCTAGACAGAGACTCACCCTCCCTCTTCCCCGCGGCTCAACACAGAAGCCAACTGTTCTTCACTACAGAAAGAGTCTTAAAGAGTATACTGATGGGAACAAAAACGAGTTAACCGTAGTTTTCAAGGATCTAGGCCCCCAAGTCAAATACAGCACTCTCTTCTTCTGGGAGTATGTGGGTCCCCTGTTTATCTATCCCCTGTTCTATTACATGCCAATCTACAAGCATTTTGGGTATGAAGGCAAACGCGTCATCCACCCAGTCCAGACCTATGCCATGTACTACTGGTGCTTCCATTACGCCAAGCGGATCTTAGAGACATTTTTTGTGCACCGGTTCAGCCACGCCACTTCTCCAGTTTCAAATGTTTTCAGGAACTGCGCATATTATTGGTCGTTTGCCGCTTTCATTGCATACTTTGTGAATCACCCGCTCTACACTCCTGTGAGTGATGTCCAGATGAAGATTGGGTTCGGGTTCGGGCTGATTTGTCAAGTTTGTAACTTCTACTGCCACATATTGTTGAGAAATCTCAGAGGTGCTGATGGTGGCGGAGGGTACCAGATCCCTCGCGGATTTTTGTTCAACATTGTTACGTGTGCGAATTACACCACTGAGATTTACCAGTGGTTGGGATTCAACATTGCGACACAGACAGTTGCTGGGTATGTCTTCATGGTTGTTGCTGCTGCTATTATGACTAACTGGGCTCTAGGGAAGCATCGCCGCCTTAAGAAGGTACATTTTACCACCATCCCTTCCCTCCATTCTAAAAGAAGAAAAAAACGTCAAGTAAACAATGAATCCCCCCCCCTACCCCCCTCTTGCAGAATCTTTGTTTATGATTTTGTTGTAGTTGATGTGCATATCGGGACACGGTCCAAATTTCTTTAGTTTCTAGTATTTTTAAAACTTTTCTAATACGGAGTACTAAATAAGACTGTTATATTTTCTTGACATTTAAAATTTGGCCTCTTTTTTCCCCTGCAGCTGTTTGATGGAAAAGAAGGAAGACCAAAATACCCCCGGCGGTGGGTGATCTTGCCCCCCTTCCTATAGAAAAGATGCAACTCCTTCAATTTCACACCACTGATGAGCAGCAGTCAACTCTACTAGAGAGAATTATTACCAAGTTTTAAATTTGACTCCTTTTTTTTCAGCTTTCCAAATTTAATGCACAACCTTTTTAATACTCAGTTATGGTTTATTCATGCTTGCATTCCTATTCTCGTTTATCAATGAAAATATGAAACCAAATCAGGCCCATATCAAAATTCAAATGCACCTTTATTTTATTTGAATATTGGAGTGGAATTAAAAAAATACAACTAAGTAGTGAAATAGTTTTAAAAAATGAATAAAGTTAGTTCTTGCGAATAGTGAACAAATACATGTTACATTATAATACAATTAATAATAAGAAGAATGGTGAATGTGGATCATGAATACGCTCTTTGTTAATTGAGCTAGTGATATCTTGAAGACAATCTTTTTACTTTTAGTATTGATAAGGTCTACTTAGAGATATCCTCTCCAAACATTACTTAGCATAGGATTCTACTAAATTATTGTTATTAATCATGATCTACTTAGGTTTATTTTTCTAAGAGTCCAAACATTGAACTTAACTTTTTATGGGAAATTTTATAATTCTTTCAACTTTGGACCCCTTCTTCATTTATGCTCCTCATGAGTCGTTTCAAGGTCACTTTCTTCACTTCAGCTTTTCTGTAAATTTTATGATTCCGTCATCACTCCCCTCCGCATTGGTATTTGGAGTAATAGTTAGCAATGAATTAAACATAATTTATTTTTATCATGACATACCAAGTTATACAATCCTTATAAGAAATATAAATATAATTTCAAAACCTCATAGTAATTTTAAAACAAATTAGTAACTTCAATTAGGTTAATAAAAACAATAAAAGGCTGATATTGAAAAAACTTATATCTAAACAAATCTATGAACAGGATTATGTTTTATTCTATGCACTAATAAAAAAACAAAATTTCAAACATGTGTAAATAGGTAGTGTTGAACTCTTATGTGTTACGTTTAATAAAGAATGAAGTATGCGTTAATTATAAGCAAAACATTCACATTCAAAACAATAATGCTTTTAACACTTTATAATTTAGGTATATAAAGTTTATACTTCTTTCATCCTACTATTTTTGTTTATTTTTATAATTTTTCTCAGTGTCTCTATTTTTGTCTTATATCATATTTGGTCATACATGTGTGATTCACATTCAATATTGTTTTTTCTACTTCCTCCGTCCCAAATTATAATGCTTGTTTACTATTCACAGGGTCAAACTTTATTCATTTTCTTTCTCTATTTTCATTAGCAATTTGATAAAATAAAATATTATTGTCACTACTAGTTTTGTAGATCTTTTGATGTAGTTTTTTAATATGTAATTTTTATTTTTTAATTCTATACCATTTGTCATATAAAATGGTTTGAAAATAATTTCAGTCAAACATCGTAAACCGAAACAGGCGTTATAAATTGGGACGGAGGTAGTAATTTTTTAATATGAATATTAGCCATGTAATTTGCTTTTTTAAGTTTACGTGTCCCTTTCCCATGTCTCAAAATAGTGAGACATATAGGTATTGATACTTAGGGGCTGTTTGGCAACTTCTGAATAGGTAAGTGCTGAACGAGTAAGAGGTCTGAACCATTAAGAGCTAGTATATCGTTTAACTATTCAGAGGCAAATGTCTGATCAATTCAGATAAGAGGTCTTAACCATTCAGACTCTGTATAATACTTAACCATTCAGAGGCAAATCTCTTAACCATTCAGACATCTGAATCATTAAGAGGCTGAAACAAACAGTCTGAACCATTAAGTGCTGAACCATTCAGACATCTGAACCATTAAGAGGCTGAAACAAACAGCCCCTTATATGACTTGAAAAACTAAATTATTGATAGTGGCTAAAATCGGCCAGAGGACAAGAGAACAAAGCTTACAAGGCAGAGCAAGTAGCCCGTCTAGCTCAGTTGGTAGAGCGCAAGGCTCTTAACCTTGTGGTCGTGGGTTCGAGCCCCACGGTGGGCGATTTTTTCATCCTTTTTTAACGTTTTCTGGTGGCAACTTTATGTACCGCCAAAGTTACGGGCCCAATGGACCTACTACTGCATGTCATAACTCAAGCCCAACAGGCCCACATTTCTCATGTAATTACAAAGTTGACCCTATACAGTTCATCTTTCCCATCATCACATTTTTGCCCATTCCTTTGTTTCTGCCTCTCACAACTCAGTCCCAACCACAACCTTAAAATATGTCATTTTTTTTGAATAATTCAAATATGTCAATGTGTTGTGACTAGGGAGGAACAAACAATTATACTATTGGACCCAAGAGATCATTAACAGGTAAAAATAACGGTATAATCTTAGTATAGTTTTCGTGAAATTGTATTATCGACCTTTTCAATCTTATCAAGATCTATTCCTGATAGTATGCATAAGTATTGAAGTATGATAGGTGAAATAAAGATTAGATGTTAGAAAATATGTGATATGAGCATTGAGCGCAACAAAGTAATGCTAAATTTTTAAAATATACTAAAATCTAAATTAGCAAGGAAAACATTGTTTAGACTTTAGACATTTGAGGCTACAACAAGAATGAGAATATTGTATTTCATATATAATCTTATTGAAACCATTATTATGTATATGTGTTGATAGGGATTGACTCCAGTGAGATAACATCTTATGGTGAGATGACATGCTTTGGTGAGATGACGCAAAACTTACCACATTACACTGCAAAGCTCACCAATGGTCAATGTAAAACTCACCTGGAAATAAAGCAAACCTCATCACTTTGAACACCAAAACTCATTTTTTTAATTTTGAAAATTAAAAAAATAATTAAAAATAAAATAGCAATACCGGTCAACCACTGGTCAGCGGCGGCGGAGGTCGGCGGCGACCGGCTGCGGCGGTGGTCGGCGGTGATCGGCGGTGACCGGTGGCAGGCGGCGGTCAATGCTGGAGTCAACGGTCAAATCTAGTCAGCACCCCTTCCTATGATTTAATTTTTTCAAAAAAAAATCAAAGTGTTAAAAAAATATGGTAAGCTTTGCCTTCCAGTTTGGTGAGCTTTGTAGTTGTGCTTGGTGAGTTTTATAGTGGGCAGTGGTGAGCTTTGCGTCATCTAACCAAAGAATGTCATCTCACTGTAAAGTGTCATCTCACTGAAGTCAATCCTGTGTTGATATGTCAAGTGTTTAGTTTCACACAACTTATTTCTACGAGTTAATAACATATATAAAAAAGATAATTTAAATATCTACGTAGTATTTAATAACAATTTTATTATTTAGTTTTAACATTTTAGAAATAATATCGCAAAATAGTACTCCTTATTTAGTTGTTGCATTTTTGAAACTCATTTGTATATTTAAATAATTTGTTTCAAAATGTAGAATTAAGTATACACTTCCTCTAATGGTCGCCATTATTAATTTTTAAATGCTCATGTTTTCACGTGATCATTACCTTCTTCAATGGCTTATCTAGCACATGCTTTCCCTTTTGGCGTGTCATTTCGAATTTAAAGCCATGCCCTTAGGAGGAAAAAATTACCTAAACAATTACTAGAGTATTAGACACTCGTATTTCTTGTAAACGGTTTAATTTGACATCAAGATAGACATAAAATATACTTTCTCCATCCAAAAATGTTTTTTCCATTAGATTTTTTACGGTCTCTAATGTTGCACTATAATTATTTTTTATCTATATTTATGCATAAATATATTTTATTAAAATTTGATATTTTTCAAAACTACGTTTTGTTAGGAATAAATATTGATATTAAATTTATATCATAGTACAATATATTTTTCCACAAATCAAAATCAAAATTTACATATTTGACTAAGAAAAATCAAATGTGAAGAACATTTCTAAACACATGAAGTAAATTCTTTAATGAAAGTGTATCTTTGGGTGGTCTCTAAACTACTCACAAATGGGGAGGGAGGATTTTCATTGATGAACATTTCTAATTTTCAACAGAATGATGCAAAATTAGATAAATCTGATTTACTCGTTGTAATCTAAGTATGTGAGAATGAGATATATCTAATATTACTAAATTTATATTATAATTAAATATACTTTTTCATCATTTAAAGTCAAGATGTGCCATAATTTAACAAAAAAATATATTAAATTATATCAATCTTTTAAGAACAAAGAGAATACTATAATAAAAACAAAGAGTCATGTAAAAGATTGTAGGCTAAAACCCATATAGTATACTCCCTCCGTTCCACTGTGTTTGTCCACTTACCTTTTGGCACACTATCCAATGCACTTCTTTAATCTATTTTATCTTGTAATTTGTATATTAAAAATTATATATTAATAATCTATATGTTAAGACGAATCAAACAAGATCACACATGACTATTTTTAGGCTTACACATTAAGAGAATTTGATGAGTCAAAGTGCTTAGATGAACAGTTCCAAAAGTCAAATGTGGACAAAGACAATGGGACGGAGGTAGTAATTATTATTAACATTCTTTTAGTGAGAAAGTACAAAAGAAATACTTCATCCCTCTAGGTTCTTTCAAATTAAATTCACAAAATTAAATTTTATTTACATTCTTTATTTGTATTTGATTGTTTGACAAAATAAAATAATTATTTTACAACTTTTTTTTGTAGATTTTTTAATGTTGATGGTGTTAATTATTTCGATCAGTTTTATTATTCTTATGCCTAACCAAGTCTAACAAATCACCAAAAACATGAAGAAGCTATTTTAGTTAAGTGAAAACTCAAACCAGGAAAAAATTATAGGCCCTTCTAGACAATATGTACCTTACCAAAAGACAAATTTGATTAATATTTGAAGTTTGTACATTATACTACCTCCGTCTCACTGTCTTTGTCCACTTTTGATTTTTAGAACTGTTCATCTAAGCACTTTGACTCATCAAATTCTCTCAATGTGTAAGCCTAAATATAGTCATGTGTGATCTTGTTTGATTTGTCTTAACATATAGATTATTAATATATAATTTCTATAATTTTTTAATATACAAATTACAAGATAAAATGAATTAAAGAAGTGCATTGGATTATGTGTCAAAAGGTAAGTGGACAAAGACAGTGGGAGGGAGTAGATCATATAGGCTTAGAAATCATTGATAGACTAAACACAAAAGTGCATTTGAGATGGTTGAGTTGGAAAGTTGCACTAGATTCACTT